AGCTGAGCACAGGCACGGAAAACCTGGAGCGACTCCATTTTCACTCGCTCGTCTGCATCACGTCACAGAGAAGATACAGTTAGTGAGTGAAATACACAGGCCTTTAAGGGCACATCACCCCTTCCTGGTCTTGCATGCAGAAAGAAAACTCGGCACAGTTAGCCTTGGAGAAAGCCCCTTGGCCTGCTTTCTGGTGTGAACCAGATGTCAGTAGCTCTGGCTACTGCCTGGGCCAGCATTTTTTCCCACTAACTGTCAATATCAGATATGAAAAATAGTGCCTTGCTCCATTTGCACAAAAATAATTAACAGTATATATTTTATTGAAGCGTTGAAAGAGGGTTGGAGAAAGGGAGACTTAGCCACCTGCTCACACCACACCTTTACACCTCTGTCGGACTCTCTGGGGTTCAGAGTTCCGCCCTCCCAAGTCCCTTCTCTGTGGCTCCATCACCAGGAGTTCCCTCTTCAGGCTTTGTCCCACCCCACAGAGACCGCCCTGTGGGCTCTGCTCTGTTTCTCACTTCCAAGAAGAGCATGCGGCCAGCGCGGTGGCTCACGCCTGTAATCCCAGAGCTTTGGGAGGCCAAGGCGGGTAGGTCATGAGGTCAGGAGTTCAAGACCAGGCTGGCCAACATGGTGAAACCCCATCTCTACTAAAAATGCAAAAATTAGCCGGGCACAGGTGGCTGCCTGTAACCCCAGCTACTCAGGAGGCTGAGGCAGAGAATTGCTTGAACCTGGGAGGCAGAGGTTGCAGTGAGCCGAGATCACGCCCCACTGCACTCCAGACTGGGCGATAGAGTGAGACACCCTCTCAAAGAAAAAAAAAAAAAAAAAGCATGTGTGCAAGTCCTGGCCCTGTTATTTGTTAGTCCTGCAAACTAGGCCTGTTCCATAAACTTCTCTGTGCCTCAGTTTCCCCATCTGTAAAGTGGGGATAATAGGACTTCCTTTGAAGGTCTTTGTGGACATCAAATGAGCCAATACTAGCCTAGAACGGTGCCTGGCACACAGCACTTTGGAAGTTGCCTGCAGTTATTAGGCAGAGCAGGTTGGTAACAAGCGTTTGTTAGCAGGGCAAGGTTTAGGGTCTGCTCTGTTTGACAAAATTCCCCCCAGGGCAGGCACTCAACATGTGCGGAAGAAGCTGTGTGACAAGCTCCCGGAGGCCAACAGGCAGCCTTCTCGGGCTTCCCCCTCTTTCCTGTGATGCAGGCGAAGTCCCCGAGTCCAGGACTGTCCGGTGCACTGTCTACACTGCCTCTGGGAAGGGGTGAGCCAGAGCCTGCCACGGTGCCTGGGTGGCTGGTGAAAGGCCACATGTGGAGGGAGACCAAAACCACACTTTCAGCTGTGGCCGGACCAGGCACTGGTTTCTGAGCCAAAGGCAGCCACGTGCCTTCGCCTCTCCCATGAGGGAAACACCCTCTCTCTGGAGTAGTTGGGTGGGAACGCCGCCCTCCTGGCAGCTCCAGGCTGGATGGCAGCCAGCTGAGCTGGCCACAGTAGACCCGCTCCCTGGGCCCCGGCTACTCCTACAGACAGGGCAGGGTGTATCCTGACGTTGGGCCTTTGATCAGCTTTGCATTGCAGATTGTGCAAGGGGATCCCGGCTCAGCCAACCCATGGACCCTTGCATTGACTGACCCCATTCCCAAGGCATCTCTTCTCTGCGTCCTAAGTCCTGCCAGGTGTGCTGGCCCCGGCATGGCAGGAGAGGGCATGAACCTGACAGCTCTTAACGTCTCACAACCATGGTGCACCCAACATCCCCCTCAAGGCACCCATAGATTCCCCACTCCCCCTGGAGCAGGGCCGACTCTGCTGGGCTATTTGAGTGGGGACTTGGTGGGGTTGACATAGGCCCTGCTTAGAAGAGCCCCCGGCTGCAAGACGGCAGAGTTGGACTCAAACCACGCAGCCCTCTGCCGGGGTCTTCCCGCTACAACTCTCTGTTTCCTGAGATGGAGACCCAGGCTCCCTGCCAAGCAGAGCTTTCCAAGCTGCTGAGGTGAGATCAAAGCTTTCCTGCCCAGTGGTAGGCGACGGGGCTGACCTCTCTCGAGGAAATGCAGCATTTGCTGGGTGTGGGCAGAATGCGTACTCCTAAGTCATGTGGGTGGCACTGAATTGCAGCCCTGTCATTTGATGTCCAACCTCCGCCCAGGTCCATTTACATAGTCAAATCCTGTCCTCTTTCCTGAGCACAAAGGCCCCTCCCCTCCCTGCTGAGGCTGCTCTCAGTTCCCAAGGTGCCCAGTACACCTGCCCAAAGCATCAGGTGGAGACTCAGCTGTTGTCCCCTTGCCCGCCAGAGGGGGCCTGGGAGGAAGCACTGCTGGGGCTCAGGCAGGATGAGGTCAGGGGACTTGGGGATCTGAGGGGCCACGGGGCACGTATACTTTTCCCATGGACTTTGCTAGGGCAGGAGAGTGAGTGTGCGGCTTCCTTCTACAGTCACGTCTAGAGCAGGGTGGCTCCACGGCCCTGCCCCGTCAGCTGCACTTCTCAGGGTCCTTGAGGCTCGACAGGCTTCCAGGCTGGGGGACAAAGCCTGCTCCCTCTGGAGCTGCCTACTGCCTGCCTTTGCCGTCTCTGTCAGGCCACGGCCACTCGGCAGGGAACAGAGAAAACGAACGGTGGTGGGGTTTGTTTTTCGAGAAGTTCAATCTCTGTGCCTTAAATGACTGGCTTTTTTTTTTTTTTTTTTTTTTAATATGCCCTTCCTGCTTTTTCTGGTGTAAAGGCTGCTTTCTTTCATGAAATGAGGTGTTGGAAGTGACAGTCTGTTTTCATTCCTTTACTTAGTTTTAGGCCCCGTGAAGCCTCGCAGGCGTGCGGCGGGTCTGCAGGCACAGGGTGGCCCATAGCGGCCAGTGCAGCCTGGCTTGCAGCAGGGGCTGCTCCCCGCCCTGAGCAGGGGAGAAAGGGGAACCCTGAGCCCAGGGCTTGTCTGCCCAAGGGGTGGGGCTCCTGGCATTTGCAGCCCAGCAGCCTCAGGATGGCAGGTTGCCAGGCTTCGGCTAAGAGGACAGCGGACATCTGTGGGCACCACAGGTCCCTCCCTAAGGAGCGGATGCTGCTCACCCATCATGGATCTGAGAGTAACTCAGTACAGACAAGGCTTCAGAGAGAAGAGGTGGAGGAAGGAATACGGGAGTTGGCCTGGGCCCCAAGAGTTTGCCCCCGGCCAGCATGTGAACAAAGACCTCAGGCTCTCTGCACCCTGTCTACCCCCGGAAAGCCAGGGCTGTAGCACCAGAGCTGCTCCAAGGTCTCTCCAGCTCTGGCTGCGCCTCACTCTGACCCTAGACGTTAAGATGCTCACAGCGTGGAGTCAGAGAGACCCATGTCCCGTGTCTGTAACCTGAGCAACCACAGAACCTGGTCGGAGAGCGGCGGTGAAGGTTAACGAGATGCCGTCCCGGAAGCCCTCGGCTCAGCCAACACCAAGCAGCCAGGACAAGGTCCCCCTGGGCCAGGACAGAAATTCAAGTAATCTATATGGGCGGGGTGGAGTCAGACTGGGCTTGCAGATGCCTAAGAGAATCTTTCTGCCACTTCTAAGGCCCTGGCGGCAGCAGGTCCCCATTGGGGAAGTCCAGCCGGCCTGGGCCTGCGTTCCTTCCCCTGAGGCATGAGAGGGGGGCACAGGAAACCAGTCTTCAGAGGTGGGGCTGCAGACCGCCAGCACAGGCCAGCAGCCAGCCATGAGCGGGGCCGCTTTCCAGTGCCCCAGCTGTCCCCGTACACACTCTGGCTCCCCTTGCTTCCGCCTCTAACCCCCCCAAGGCTACATGCACGCCCCACTGGACTGGGTGCAGGAGAGGTTGGGCAACACAGGCTGCTGGTCTCAGCTGCAGCCTCGGGGGCAGACGGCCGTGGCTTTGACTGTTGTCACTCAACCTGCCAGGTCCTCAGATTCCTCATCTGCAAAGTAGGCCTTTTAACAGGACCTGCACTTTAGGTTGTGGTGAGGATGAAATGGGCCAACAAATGCTTAGCACAGCAGGTCCCAGCCGTGAGTCAGTGTTCAAAACAGGTCTGGGCTCACCGCCTACTTCCCCTCCTGCCTGGAGAAGGGCAAGGCCCTGGCTGCTCTGGGGAACACTTCTGCTAGCCCAGGGATGTTACCTGGAATGTCTAGGTGGACACACCCTTCCCCTGACTACGCTGTGGCACTGCCCGAGGCCCCAGTAAAATGCTTGGACCAAGAGCTGCCGGGTAAGGGCGTCCTTCAGACACTGGACTGGACAGAGGTTCTAGAAAGGAACCTTCAGCAAGCGGCTGGTTCCTCCATGTCAGCACAGCTGGCACATTCAGAAACATCCCCAACCGGGCAGTGGGAGGAGGTGATGGTGACAGAGACCCAAACTGAGGGGTGTGGGGTGGAGAGCGGTCACAGCTGAGTGCTCAGGAGAGACAGAAGGGGTTGCTCACTGGTGGTAATGGTGATTTCCTCTGCCCTCAGGCCCCCAAAAGCAGCTTCTGAGTGAACGGAAAGTCCTTTCTTGATTAAACCCACCCCATATTCTTGGGTCGCCAAACGGAGCTTCTCTAGGGGCCCAAAGCCTGGGTGCTCCAGGAAGGGTCCCTCTGGCCACCTCTGCTCTTCCCAGGGTTTCCGAGCTGGGCGTCACTGAACTGCTCCAACACACCCACCTCCACAGAGCCCTGAGCTTCCTCCTGGCTCAAAAAGCCAGACCCCCTTCTCTCCGTCCTCAGATCCCAAGGAAGCCCCAGGCACCACACAGCTCACGGGAAGCTGGGGTGTCAGATCAGGCCTCAGAGTGGCTCTGACAGCTCCCAAGCTGCAAAACCTGCCATGAGACCAGGTCCCTGAACTCTAAGGCCAAAGTCTAAGGCCAAGGTCCGCGACAGGGTGGCGGGGAAGTGTGCATCTGTCCTGTGACACAAGAACAACCCATGCCACTGCTGGGGCCCTTGGAAGCCCCTCCGTCATCTCTGTGCCCGGGGAAGGAGCAGGTTGTACTCACAGCACGCAGAGGGCGTATGCCCGGGAGATGGACTCGCTGGCACGCACGAGGAAGCTCCCGTCCTTGCCCGTCCTGGAGAGCAGCTCCTCCGCCTTGGAGCGGGTGATGTTGCCGTGGTTCCAGCAGGGGACCATGGCGGGCGCGGGGCTCCTCGGCCGGGCCGGCCGGCTGGCACCCCCAGGACCCACACGCCAGCAAGGGGAGCGGAGGCCCCTCCACTGCAACCTGCCGCCTGTTGCCTCTCGGTGGCCTCGGCTGCTGCCACCAGCTTAACTGACTGACTTCCTGTTTCAGGCGTTCAGCGAGGGAAAGGAAACTGAGCTGCGGAGAAACTTCCTCATTACAGAAGCCAGGCAAGCGCGCGCGAGACACGGAGGCAGAGACGGGGCGGGGGGCGCTCCGGCCGTCCACCGTCCGCCACGCCCCGCCACGCCAGCCGCGGCTCTCTCGCCGGCTCGCTCCTTCCCGGAAACAGGTCACAGCCCACAACTAACGGGTCCAGGGGCAGCTGAAGTCCCGCTGGGCAGAATGACTGGCTCCGGAGACGCAGGAGAGTCGTGGCCGGCTTCGGAAGAAGCGTGGCCTCGCAGGTGCGGGTGGGCCAGAGGACGACCACGTGGGAAGCCACGCCCTAGACAGGCCTCCTGAGCCTTCTGCCCTCCCCCAGGGCTTTTCAAGGCCAACCCGGAACCCCCAAAACACCCAAGGGGGCACAGCTTTTCAACTGGGGATACGGCCTGCTCAGGACAGAGCAAACTTGAGGGGGTGGGGCATAGTCGAGCCCCGCCCCGACCCCCAGAGGCACCGACCTGCCGGAGGCTAGGAGGCCTTGGGCGCCACCAGCCAAGGGCTCCGAGGTCCAGGTGATGGCTCTGTGACCCCGCTACACTCGTTCCCAGGGGCCGGCAGGTGCTGCATGGCAGCACAGCTCTGATCCCTGAAGTCTGGCTTGGAGACACACAAAGGGAGCTTGGAGGGGACGTGGACTGTTTACAGCGGGAACACAGGCTGGGTTTTCCCCTGAGCGTCTCCAGAAGGCTGAGGAAGCAGGCTCTGAGAGAACACCACAGCCCCACAGGGCGGGCTGGCCACCTGGGCAAGGACGACACCGGCTCTGAGTCCTGCATCTCAGCAGTCCAGGTGGCCAGTCAGACTGTGCCTCCTCCAAGGCTGGGCATGGCCATGTTCGCCCACTGCTCAATGGGGAGCTGCCTCTCCAGGGACCGCCATCCAGGACCAGCAATTTCTGAGAGCTCGGTGGTAGACACCCATCCCTCAGCCCCCAGACCTGGGCGCCCTCCGTCCTTGGGTCAGGCCTACCAAGGGCAAAGGGGCACGTGTTGACCTGCTGCACAAGGCTTGCCCCACACATCCCACATCCAGGCCTTGCCCTCCAGGACAGGACAGCAGACCCCCTCCAGGAGGGGGCACCAGCCAGAGGGCACCACCACATTCAAGCTGTGGGAACCTGGTCAAGTTTCTTCTCTCTCTTGGCCTCCATTTCCTCTTGTCTAACTTGAAGGGCGTAGCTTGTAAAGGAGCTCACATGTGCCAAGGGGATCAACGTGCGTCACACTGATGGTCATCCCAGAACAGGGGCCCCAGCACCTCCCACCTGTATCAGCACGCATGGCAGGCAAGCACTCCCACTCAAGAACCTCTGGCCAGGCCTGGAGCCAGGCGTGGGGATACAGTAGTGATGGGAGCCGGCCTCCACACTCCGCGCCTCTGGGAGCGCACCACCTCTGCAGCAGCCCAGCATGGACGCCTCTCATTCCCCACCCGCACCTTCACTCCACACCTGTCTACCCCCTTCTTCTGGAGTCGTCTCCTATGCTCCCATCACACCCTTCTCGCTTCTCTGCTGGCCTCCACCAACATCCATGAATCCCTGAACCACGACACCAGGAGGATCCATTCACAATACTGGTCCCTTCACGCCTCCAGCCACTCATTTCTAGAGACCTCTACCATGCCAAGACTGCTCTACTTAGAAAGCTTCCCCCATGCGCTCAGCCCCTATCTCTCACACCTGTCTTCCCACGGCCCTTGCCATTCCTCCCAGCGAGATCCCTGGCACACACACCACGTGGGCATGATTCACTAATTTGTAAGGTCCACTCCATCTTTGCTTCCTCTTCCACCCGATGGCCTGATCTATCCAGCATGATCAGCTGCCTTGTCTCCCACCCTTCTGCCCCCCCACATTCAGGAAATCCCAGTATCTAGATCAGGGCTGCCCTTTTGGTGGATGGATTTTTTTGTAGGGCTGCGGTCAATATAAATAATTTAAATGTATTACAAAATTCACGAACTCATGTGAGAGACAGTGACTTATCAATGAAGACTTCAAATAATGGCAAGAGAGTGGCCAGGGACAGTGGCTTACGCCAGTAATCCCAGCACTTAGGGAAACTGAGGCAGGTGGATCGCCTGAGGTCAGGAGTCCATGACCAGCCTGGCCAACATGGTGAAACCCTGTCTCTACTAAAAATAATAATTTTAAAAACCAGCCAGGTGTGGTGGCTCACGTCTGTAATCGCTGCCACTCAGGAGGCTGAGGCAGGAAAATTGCTTGAACCTGGGAGGTGGAGGTTGCAGTGAGCTGAGATTGTGCAACTGCATTCCAGCCTGGGCGACTGAGCAAGACTCTGTCTCAAAATAATAATAATAATAATAATAATCATCATCATCATCATCATAGCTAGAGAGGCAGCAATTACGTGCATCCTCAATGTCCTATCAGTTCACCTGAAGAGTCCTCATGATGCCCCCATCTTCTCTCCCATGCCAGTCTAGTAATCACCTCCTCACCTCCTTGTGCCTTTTTTTGTCAAATGCACCATTCCTGACTGATTTGGGACCTTGTACAGAGAGATGAAGGTATTACTCACAATGCCTCCGCTGCTTGTAGGGAGACACCATAAACCTTCTGGCCCCTGCATTTCCCTGATCCCATTTATCTCCGGCTGGAGGCCTCATTACTGGTGATGTCACTCCATTCTTGTGCAGCCCAAGACTTCAGCTTCCAGTGATTTTCTTCAAGGACGGTTTCTTTGCTTTGTAACTAACCACAATGCCTGTCCTGCCCAGAGCATGCAAGAAAATGTTCAGTCAGTCATCTTCTTGTCATGTTAAATTTACTGTTCCAGGCCGGGCACAGTGGCTCACACCTGTAATCCCAGAACTTTGGGAGGCCAAGGCAGACAGATCGCCTTAGGTCAGAAGTTTGAGACCAGCCTGGCCAACATGGTGAAACCCCGTCTCTACTAAAAATACAAGAATTAGCCAGGCATGGTGGCTCATGCCTGTAGTCCCAGCTACTCCTGAGGCTGAGGCAGGAGAATCACTTGAACCCAGGAGGCAGAGGTTGCAGTGAGCAGAGATCGTGCTATTGTACTTCAGCCTGGGCGACAGAGCAAAACTCCATTTCAAAGGAAGAAAAGGTACTGTTCCAAATTTTATAGCATAAATGCAGAACCACGCATCTTCCAGCCATATTCTCTTGAATGTGTCAGGTCATATTCACTGCATTCCTACCTTGGGATCCTGCTTGATGATGACTGCACCCCTGCCCCCCCCCACACAAGAGCAGCCCCTCTCTCCAGGGATGTCTGCCTGCATCTGGCATGGCAGGATCCATGTGGAGAGCTCAGCATCACCCCGTGGGTGGGGGTGGGAGACGATGCTGATGGGAAGAGCCCATGGGTGTATGGGTGTTGTGGAGCAATGTTCTCGAAAGCCATTGGAGGAGGCGGCTGCCTGACAGCTGGACAGGAGCCTCCAGAAGGGGTGAGGGACTGCCAGCTCCTGCTGGCAGGGGTGAGGAGGCCCAGGCCACCTGCCACTATCCTTGCTGTCCTCAATGCTCAGGGTCACTCAAAGGATGGAGTGGCTGCACCCAGAAGCCCAGCCACAGGGCCCCAGAACGATTGCATAGGTGTGAGTCAATGCATTCCTTGGAGCATCTGGTCAACCTCACCCATGGGGCAGAGGCTTGGAAAGCAGCTGGGGGGAAGAAGTGGGGTGAGGACTCACTCATGTGAGCCTAGGTCCAGACTGGGGCACCTGCCCAAAGGCATTACCAGTCCTGGCAAGCCCTAGGCCCCATCAGGGGACTTGAACAATTTCTGAGAAAACAGGGCAGTGAGAAGCATCAGGGTGGTCTGGCAGGCACCTGGTCTTGGGCAGTCAGTCAACTCTAGAAGCTCCAGGAAGAACAGACAGACCTCAGTGTTGAAGAGGAGAGCTGACGGGGCAGGGCCACGGCGTAGGAATGATTCTGCTTTGGAAGCCTCGAGTGGGGGCAGGTCACAGGAAGGTTTGAGTCTCAGGACAGGGCAGGCTGGGAGAGAGGGACCATGGAAACACCACAACGTTTCTTGTCCAGGGGTCCTTCCAACGTGTAAACAAAACAGAATGGATGGTCTGAGAAGGGGCTGGGCCAGGAGAGGGGAGGCAGAGGTCAATATATACTGTATATATATATGTACATTACATTATACATATTGTATATATTATACATTATATATATACTAGATATCTACTATACAATGTTAGTAGATATACAATAAATCTAAGCATTTGTCACTGTACTTCCCTTCCCCTCCTTGTTCATCAAAGCGCTTTAGTACACCCCAGGGCTCCCACTCACCACCAGCCTGGGTAGAGAGATAGATATCACTCACTGCTTGGGGTGCAGAGTGAAAGTGCTCACTCACCGGTGCTAAAAGCAAAGGGAACAGTGATGGTTAATTTTATGTCATCTTGGCTGGGCCACAGGACCCAGATGTTTGGTCAACATTATTCTAGATGTCTCTCTGAAAGTATCTTTTAGCTAACATGAACATTTAAATCAGTAGACTTTGAGTAAAGCAATTCCTGTGTGTAGGCCTCACCCAATCAGCTGAAGGTCTTCATAGAAAAAGATTGACTTCCCCCAAAGACAGAATTTGCCAGTAGATTGCCTATGGACCCGAGCCACAGTGTCAACTCTTCCCTGGGTCTCCAGCCTGCCAGCCACTCTACAGACTTTAGCCTCGACCATCCAATGAGCCAATTCCTGTCTATCTATCTATCTATCTATCTATCTATCTATCTATCTATCTATCTAATCTATCCATCCATCCATCTATGTAGCCATCCATCTATCTATCCATACATCCGTCTATGTAGCTATCTATCTATCTATCTATCTATCTATCTATCTATCTATCTATCTGTCTATCTGCTTCTCTGAAGAACCCTGATTAATAGAAGGGCAAATACTTGACTGTGAAGTTAGAAAGTTGCTCACTGGCTAGCATAATCAGTAGTGAATTTCCTTCACCCTCAGACCTGATAATAGGACATCTTGGCTGGAGAAGGGACCAGTCACTCACAGGGAGCCTCCTGGGATCAAGCACCACTGTTCCCTTTCCAAGGAGCCCCGGGAAGGTGGGTCAGCCCCCCGGCCCCTGCTTTCTGTCACTGGGGAAGACCAGCGGGGAAAACCAGTCAAAAGCAGGAGCCAGCACCTTGTTCACAGCTTGTTAAGAAGGATGAATGCTCTCCTCTGTCCTGAGAATTTGCCCTGCCCACATCGGCCCCTCCCAAATCAAAGGCCAAGGTCACTTACTGAGATGGTGGGAGAGGAAGGCAAGTCCCAGCCCTTGTCTAGGATGAAGTGAGACCGTCCTACTGGAGACGCCTGGCGGAGCTGGAACACTCCTAAAC